ACAACAGCAAAAGCAACTACTACAACAATGAAACCAACATTATCATCCTCACCATCATCATCAGCAGCAGCAGCTACACTTTAACATGCATCTGACATTAAAGTTTGGTTTATAATTCGATAGATGTTCTCTCAATCTGAAAATAACCCTTCAGTTGTTTTAGGTGGGGGTTGTCTTTCCATCCTTCCTTTCCCATGGTATTCATCATGTTGACAAGTTAACATTTCAACACAGAAGATAGGCTAGCTAACGAATAGCAGATGGAGGTCGGTGTCAGCAGCAAGATACAGGATGAGGGGGTAAAGTAGAAAGCCTTAGTAAGCCTACTAGATCTATGTGCACCACCCAATTATAGTGCAGTCAAAATTCAAGGCCGAACTTATTGTCCAATGTTTCCTCAACTACGGAATATAAACTCTCCACCAGCTTTTGCACAGTGACTTGTTGTATCAATTTGTCCTGTCAGATCAACATTTTTTTGTAAACGCCTGCTTGCTGTATCCTAGAAAATTCTTCAGTAAATACTAATTTTTAAAAACAAATGGTTTCTACAGATTTTAAAAGATATACAGCAGGGGCAATATCCCTTTTAAAAGCAAGTCCGAAATGTTTTTCGAATCGCAACATTATGCTTATTGAATGCATGTTTTGAGAACCTTTAATGCAAAAAATGTCTTCTCTATAACACTAATTCCACGTAACAAGTTTTGCCACTAAAGAGTGTCATTGGTGACCTGTGACGTAGACCGAACGCGTATACAAAAATGTGTGAGAAGCGGGAAATGTTGTGAACAATCCCACTTTCCACGTGATGGGGATCTCTAGTTTATGAAGAAAACCTTTGTTAATCTAGCATTGATTTATTTTTTTTTATTTTTTTTTGGGGGGGGGGGGGAATATTACGATGTCAAGACAAATTGATATAAACTGATGTTCAAAGTATGGGCGACATTGATGATATACCCGTTAGAGAGATAGATCTATTTGAGGATTTATAAACTGCGCCACGAATTTTTGACCGCACTATAAGTAAGAGACTCAAGAACACGCAACAGAGTACATTAGGACACCTAGCTGTTCCTCGAACCCACTGCCATACATCTGTGTACTTGTGGCAAACCGCACGGCACAGACATAGTGTGTGGTGGTGTAACTGTATATCTACTAACATTGGGTGATGTGTTCTGATTACGCAAGTGCACATTCCTCATCTATTTTTTATGTTCTCTTGTCTTACAAAGCTGCCAAATAAATTAAAATCTAGCCGGCTGGAACTACTGACAGAGCGTAACTAGAACAAACTACATTTATTTTCTTTGAAAGAAACAAAGACACAGATAGAGAGAGAGAGAGAGAGAGAGAGAGAGAGAGAGAGAGAGAGAGAGAGAGAGTAGAACGGGTGAGTCTGTGAAATAATTACAGGTCAAGATAGAAAAGAATTATGCCTATATTTTATTATTATTATTTTCTCTTCATTCCTCCATGTATATATAATATATGTCTTAACCTCATACAATGAAAGGAACTTTCAAACAAAAACAAAGCCACACACGATGCCCCATTGGCCACCGGAGAATCCAACACGTCGGTACCTCAGAGTTACAAAGTTGTATCTGACATTTTTGGCCGTTTTAAGTCACTTAGACCATGAGGTCAGAAAATAAAGGCTCTATATCCTCTATCAAAATCGTAAGATTATTCTGAGTCGTTATCAAGATATCATTCAAAGAACTGCATTCCAAAATGCTTGGAATATTGTGAAACTCAAAATGTTTTACGCCCAATTTTTCAAAACCTGGTATAATACAGTTGCGAGCGCCGTTTAGTTTAAGTTTAGTAAGGTTTTACGGCGCTTGGAACAGCTAAAGGTCATATGAGCGCCATAAAACACTCACAACCCCGGATAGTTTCGTTTGTATAAACAAATAGTACCAAAATGATAGCTTTTGCTCCCCCAAAAAAAAAAAAACAACCCTAGGTGCTAAGCAGACAGAACATTGTAATTCTGAGGTAGCCACTAGATCTAGACAGGTACAAACCAGAATTGTCCGAATGTCTCACACAGCCAGGAAGTTCAATAACCGTATGTCTGTCTGTCTCCGACCGTCAGTCGTGAGATCCCTCCCTCAACTCCCTGGTCTTCAGCTCCGGGCTCGAAATCCTCTCCTGTCTTGTCTGTCGTGAGTGAGTCGGCCGGCAAATCAGTCCGTCAGCTGGCGGGATCTGAGGACAACTGATGAAGTATCCAGGAAAGGGGTCATCACTGGAGAAGGGCCATAACTCTCCCAGGTCCTGACGACAATAACAGTGGCATCAGCAGTTGCTAGCAGCAGACGACGACAAGTCATTGGCCTCATCCGCTCCCCTGCACCAGAGATATTATATGACATGCGTGTATGCAAATGAGGATGTGTTTATTTGTCTGTCTCACCAGGGGTTGGAGCGGCTCACAGGAGGACATCTGTGGGGAGGTGCCAGCTATGTCTTCATATCGCACGGCGGAGGCGAGATCTCGACATGAGTTCAACAAACACAGGTGAATGAATGAGATTGTCGTGATATCCAAACTTATTGCTCATTCACGGCTCATATTGAGTTCACAATCTGGGGTAACGTGTCTTATTATTCTCAGTAGCCTTGTATCTCTTATATATTTGGCAACTTGGAAACACATGTGTCACTTTTCCCATAAAACTACGACAGCTACAGAGTTGAAAGTTGGCAAGTACCTGCAAAAAGATAGATAGGTCCCAATGACGGAGCTCGATTTTTTATTTATTCATTTCCTGAATTTAGAAAAATATATTTGACAAAAAGTTCCCGTCCTTCTTTGGCCTTGTGACTATTCCACTGAAAAACGAAACAAATCTGCGTAGCTGTCCTTCACAACGGAAGGGCCGGAAGTGATATTTCGCGAGGCACATTTTGTTTTGAGAGTACAGATCTATGTTTTGAGAGTACAGATCTATGTTTTGAGAGTACAGATCTATGTTTTGAGAGTACAGATCTAGACCTTCTAATTTTGTTGCATCATTCTCCATTCCAGTAGAGTATAAATAGATCTATAGT